TCTTGTTTCCCAAAGCTGGGTTTGGGCAGGCCATGGTTTCAAGGACCACAGCCATCAATTCAACAAAAGGCATAAGTAATGTTTGAAGAGACTCTGAGATCTCAAGTGTTAAAGCCAAAAAAGACCACACTGTGAGCTCCTCTCAAGCTCTTCATTTTCCTGACATAACAGTAAGAGGGCCTCCATTTATAGACCACTTGCTGCAAGTGGTACTTTCTCTACCACAGCACTTGGTGTATACTGGAAGGAAAGCCCTGGGACACTAGAAGATGACTTGCAGAGAAAGAGCAGCTCAGAGTGAGTCTACAATACTTGGCACTAACCCCAATAGTTTTTTCCAGTTCCTCCTTTAACTTTAATCAACACTCCAATGTCAATAAAATCCTTTTTTTTTCTCCAAGGTATACAAAAATCCAAGCCCTACAAGTCCCAGTCCATGGATGGTCCAGCCACACTTTTCACACATCCAGGCTATGTACTCTCTGGGCCTCTTCCTTTCCAGCCTTTAATCCCCAACATTTCTGCCTGTATGCCAATTACTGTGGCACGTTCTTAGCTCACAAGTCACTGTTTCAGCAAATTGTTCCCAGACTCCTCAATTTAATAAGCGGCATCCTACTCCCCACCCACTCTTTTTCATCACCTCATCCTGCTTTGTTTCTTAATACTTGTCATTGTCTATAAACACTTTTTGTCATGTGTTTGCTGGCTTATTTTCTCTCCCCATCCCACCCCATTTATCTTCTTTCATGGTGTATAAATTCTATGGGACAAGACTTCTGATTTGTCTTATGTGCCCCTGTATCCCTAAACCTACATTACTTGAAGGAATGAACACATCAGTGAGTGGCATAAATGATCCTATGCCTAGATATATTGCTTGATGTGACTGTTGACTGCATAGGGCAGAATTAGGTACATAAAATAGATTCTGCAGCAAGACCCCACAGAGGGTTGCAGATATCTAGAGTTCCACCACTTTCTTGCTTGTCAGTAATAAAGACAGCATCAGTATTAAGAACATAGGACTAAGGTTAGGAAAGTGATAGAGCATCTGCCTAGAGAGTGCAAAACCCTGAATACACAAATAGATCCAATCTGGAATTATATGCTGGTGTTTCAGTAATGTAAAATTCAGAAAGTGTGGAAGATCTGCCTTCCTAGTTTCAGAGCAAGAGAATAATTTCCCCATCTCTCCATGACCAAGTCAGTCAGTCCCTCTTGCTTCTTTTAAGGCCATTGCTGCTACCAGCCATCCTTAAGAGGCATATGCAATGTTGGCACCAAAGGAACTTTAGAAACTAGAATTCAAATAAAAGAAGGAGAGGGCTGAGGGTGTGACTCAGTGGTAGAGTGCTTGCCTAGCCTGCTTAATGTGCTGGTTTCCAGAGAGAGAGAGAGAGAGAGAGAGAGAGAGAGAGGGAGAGAGAGAGAGAGAGAGAAGAGAGAGAGAGAGAAGAGAGAAGAGGGGAAGAGAGGGAAGGGAGGAGAAGAAAAAGCAGGGGGAGGGATGATTGGGGGGGTAAGGGTAACGCCTGCAGGTATGTCTTTAGAATACACTCTTTCCTTGAAATTGATGACAAATCTGGATTTATTTAAGGAACATGTGCTTTTGCTGTCTTTTATTCAAGGATTTCTTTTAGATGAATGTGTGTGAGGTTTCCAAACATGGCTTATGAGGTACTCAATTTTAACTCTTTGAGGGGAGCCCAAGTCACTTGTTCACTCTCTGGGGCTTCCAGAATGTACTGCTAAGCTGACTGCATTGCAGGCATTGCCCCTTCCCACCAAGGGCAGGTCATGAGAAAGACATACTGCACAACAAAAAGCAAGATCACTTAGAATGGATGTCACAACAAAGGACACTCCTTTCTTAATCTTTAATGCCAAGCACTGCTTGTACTCACTTTGTGTAAAGTCAATAAAAGAGGATTAGGTAATGTAATGCTTCTCTGCTTTAAAAAAAAAATTGCCAAGTTCTCCTTTGGACAAAACTGTCTTTACTGCTTTTTCTCAGTTTAGATTCAGGTAAGCATTTAGAGATTATTTCACAAATGTCATCTTTCCTTCAAGGAGATTAAGTAAGAATTAAAATTAGAAACTAAATTAAAAAGTAATCAGGAATTCTGAATTTTTTTATTTTCTCAAATTCTCTGCAGCTATAATATTTTCCCAGAACTAGTGTAATATAAACTCAAACATGTAAAAGAATATTCCATTTCATAACAAAATCAAAGGAAACACTGAGAAAAAGACTTATAGCTCATATGATAAACTATTAATATCTTTATTATATGAAGTGAGAGTTCAAATAGATATAAGAAAGTATTATGTGTCAAACAGATAAAAGAGTTAAAAGACTCAGAAGAAACATTGTAAAAGGGGAGTACTGGCTCATGTCTACAATCCCAGCTGTCCAGGAGGCAAATATGGGAAGGATCACAATTTGAGACCAATCCAGACAAAAAGTTATGCCAACTAATAAGCTGTCCGTGGTGGATGCACCTGTCACCGCAGCTACATAAGAGGCATAAACAGGAGGATCTCAGTTCAGGCTGACCTAGGAAAAAATGGAAGACCCTAGATGAAAAAAACAGCCAAAAAAGGATTGGAGGCTTAGTTCAAGTCTCTTCAGTAAGTGCGAGGTCTTGAGTTCAAATAACCAGTGCCACCGAAAAAAAAAAAAAAAAAAAGAGGGGCGAGGAAGTAATACAGCTAGAAAGTCATCCTACTTGGCCAATTATCTAAACAGAGAAAATAAATGCATGTTTCTTCTATCTATGAAATTATAAATAAGATTAAAAATAATTTTCCCAATTAAAAAAAAAAAGAAACTTAAGTCAGACAGAGAAGTAGAAAGATTGCAGTTCAAGTTTGGCCCAGGCAAAAGTGCGAGACCTTACCTGAAAAACTAAAAGAAAAGCAAACAGGCAGGGGTGAGGCTCAAGTGGTAGAGCAGGTACAAGGCCCTGAGTTCAATTCACAGTGCAGCCAAAAGCAAAACAAAACAAAACCTTAAATTTCCTTTATTTAAACAAAGTGTTATTGAGAAGTCCAAGCAAATCGGGTTTTAGCCCCGATATCTGAAAGGGTGAGCCTTGGAGACTGGCCTTCTTGTTTCCCTGCTCTCTATTTTTCATGAACTTTTTAGGGGTCTTCAAGGACTTCCAACTCTCCATAAAGCACAAGTGAAAGGCCACCATTTTTAATAGCACCAGGACTGACAAAGACTATCAATAGGCATATTCCCATATGATGAATGGGGTTTAACTCACTTCCACCACTTTGATCTGGAAATGCACCATAAAAGTCACAAAACTGTCCATACCTATTGACTATTTACTCTCACTTCTGAGATCCTTCATGGTCACACTGCATGAAAACACTAAATGTAGCATTATTTAAGCTGGCAAAATTTTAGAAAAAAGAAGTATGGATTCAACCATTCATTAATATGTAACTGAGCAAATAACCTGGCAAGAGCTAATGATTCTATTAATGATTGAAATAGGAATGGCTGGATGATGATTCAGAAAGAAGATGAAGAATGTCATTAGGCAGCACATATTATGTCCTATACTGTTTATAGTCATGGAACTTCATTAAAAGTGACTTAAATCTTACTGAAGGGCATTGATTCCCTAAATTAACATAGTCCAGATGTCACTATCTAAAAAAACACTGAAAACTAGAAGATTTGAGTTTGGGTTATTATAACTGTTGGTTGTTCTACTGAAGCAATTCAGATAAGACTATAACCCTTACCTAAAGCAAAGTCTTCTTGAGAGAAAAAAAAAAAAAAAAAAAACCCAGAAAATATTTCTCTGAAACTTCAGGACAGCTATGAGTCTATGGAATCTATAGTTGTTTGAAGCACTGCTGACCCCCTAAAAATGAGTAAGGTGGCTTCACCAAAAAGAGGTAGATAAGAAGTCTTTCCATAATAAACTCCAACCTTAAGATGAATAAAGGCATTCTGTAAATCAGTTTTCCAACTTTATATGCTTTTCTTGTGTTTCTTCTCTGTGTAATCTAATATATTTAGTAAGACATATTTGAAAGGGTGGGCTTTTCATTTAAATGCCCCTAACTTAGTCTCATTTGTGTTGTGGGTAATTAGTGGGAGAATCATAGGTACACATTTTATCCATAGGAAACAAGAAAAACTATCCAGTCCACATCCATGCCTTAAGCAAGTGTGATGATGGTGGAGGTGATGACTGAAAGATGCCCCCAGCCTAGAAAGTCCAGTCCTATACAGGGTGTCCTGCTAGACTGCTATTCTTGAAGGGGTCAATGTTGACTCAATTAAAGAGTCACTTCTTTGCAGCCTCAAACTATGTCAGAAAATCAGAAAGTTAAAAAAAAAAAGTATTTCAAAGATAAGAGTCCAGAGGAAGAAAAATAGCTGCTGAGGGCAAAAAAGCAAACAAACCAATAAAGACAAACTTCAGGCTCTTAAAACTCATTCTGCTTGTCTATTTTTCAGGTGGTGGCAATCAATCAAAAGAATGACTTCTTCTGGTGGGGAAGTGAGTATAAATCAAAACAAAATTTCTTTTTAAAGTAAAACAAAACAAAAATATATCCTAATTCAATCATTTATATAAAAGAAACATAAGAAATCAGTGTTATTAGTATTTTAAAGAACAGCATCTAAGGGATTACCTGTTTTAAACTTGGAGTAATTAATTTCTTCCACCTAATTTCATAACAGAAATTCTAATTACCTAAACTTAAAGTAGTCTGCATTATAGGCCTGTCTTATCTGCTAGGACAGGACAAAGCACATTATTAGTTCTTTTCAGGATACCTTTCCTTTCATTTGCTCTGACTACTTTATATTTATTTTATCTTGGTGCACTGCAAGTATCTTGGTATCTCGGCTAAATCATGCTCTAAAAGAATGTGAAGTATAAACAAAGAAATAAAATTTGCCCTTTCTTTCTCAATACTTAGTCTTTGTAAAATGCTTTATTTCTCTAATAATGATCACTCACCTTAGGCTGTTTGCAAAGGTAGCGACAAAGTTCTCCAATATACTGAAACACGGTCACATTATACTTCTTGCAGTCATTCCAAAACTGGCTTGCTGAGAATTTCTTCTTTAACACACAAGTGGCACCTTTGAGAAGAGGCAGAAACATGGACCAGGAAAAAACCTTGAGGGCAGAATCAACTTAAAAGACAAATGATATTGCACTGTCTAAACATTTGTGTTCACCTCCTAGGCTTTTATAATTCACAAGTAGTTTATTATCAAGCTAATTTGAAAGCATGGATTTCTGTGGTCCAATAACTTTTTTAAATATTTAAGTTGTAACTACATATTTTGATGGCAAATATGCTTTTTGCAGTACATGGGGTGAAAGCCATAAGTCAAAATAACTAGTAGAGTAAAAAGTATTAGAGCATGATCACAGATAAGAGCCATCCTTCTTTATGGGGACAAAGAATATCACTTACTTTGAATATATACATACATTTCATTTTTAAAACATTAAAGCAACTTCAATATCAAGATTTAATAAGGCAAAGCTAAGTAAGATAGAACCAACAAAAATTTTATCAATGACTGTAGAACTTAATTGTCAAACCACTTGATTTTTTTTAACAAGGAAGTCTGTATTTTTTATTGGGATACAATTCACATGTAATATGATTCAGAATTTAAAGTGCATAATGCAGTGGTTTTTGACCAGTCAAGAGGTTGCAACCATCATCACTATCTAATTTCAGAACGTTTTTATCATCCTAGAAAGAACTCCACACCCACTAGCAACCTTCCCAGTTTCCCACTTTCTCTCACCCCTGGCAATCATTAATGCCCTTTCTGATTCTAATTTGCCTATCATGGACACTTAATGTATGCAGACTCATATATGATGTGACACCATGTGTCGTGCTCCTGTCATGATAATATTTCCAAGGTTCATCTATGTTATAGCACATATCATTCCATTTTATGACTGAATAATAACCATCTCATGGATATATTTTGTCAGCTCATTAGTGAGTATTTGGGTTGTGTCCCTTTTTTTTTTAAATCAAATGGATTGTTTCACTTTTTGATTAGCAAGAATAATGCTGATATGAACACTCATGTACAAATTTTTATGTGATTGCATGCTTTCAATTCTTTATATACATAGATCTATCTATCTATATATTTATACATATATAGATAAAGATATATATGAGTGGAGTAAGTGGAATATTGGGTCATACAGCTACTTTGTGTTTTATTGGGTTTCACTGCAGTGGACCTGGGACTGAGCAGCAACACATAGACCTGGACTTGCTTTCATGCCCTGATTCACAGTGGACAGAGTCTTGATCCCAGCTCAGCCTCTGGAGGTTGGAAGAGGGGTGTTAGAGGAAATCAGTGACCAAGCCTAAGGCAGTTCCAGTGGTTGTCAGGAACCGGTATGGGTCAGATGGTAGAGGCCATGGGGGCTCTACCTGACAGTGGGCTTCTTCCAATTTCCTGGTAGTGGATTTCAAATATAAAGCCTAGGTTTATAGTCGTCCTTCTCCCTCCCCTATCTCTCTTTATGCTGAGTTGGAGTTGGGAGAGCAGTGACATGGCAACTTTGATGTGACTTTTGTTTTTGTCATATTAAAAACAGGCACATGTGCTGTCCTATGGTTTCCTCAGCTCCTGAGAAGGTATTTTGGTGCATATATAGTTGTTCAAGTTGGTGTTTCTGTGGGGAGATGATTACCAGAAGATTTCACTCAACTGCCGTCTTTCTCTGCCTCCGACAAACTGGTTTGGACAGCAATGTCCAATGAGGACATATTCTTACAGAAAATTTGAATGTCTTTCATCATTATTTATTGTAGATACTGATCACATTTGGAATTGACCACATTCCAAATATACTATTCTAAAAATTACATTAGAGCACTGTAAACCTATAAGCACAAATGAATTGCTGTATATTAGTTTAGGACAAATGATTGCTATATATTAGTTTAGGACTGGTAAATGACATATAATCTTGCATGTTTATGAATGTAATTTACTGAGTTATAAGCTTTGCCAACTGACTTCTTGAAATTTGGGGGTAAACTATTTGTAAAAACAGCTTTAACAAGTCCTTCTCTGCATTTACCTTTGTAATATGAATTTGTTCCTCTTCCCTTGAAGTGGTGGGGCCTGTTTCTCCACCCCTCAAATCTTGACTCTAGGATGGCCTGGGACTTGCTTTAATCACAGGAAGCAGGTGAAATAATCCCTGTGATTTCCAAGACGTGGTCTATAGAGTTTTGCAGCTACATATTCTTCCCCTTGAAGCCCTCTTATGACAATTTAAGGAATCTGAGGGTAGACTCCTAGAGGCTGAGCAACCACGAGGAGATAAAAGCCCAGTCAACAGCCTGTCCCAAACAAGTGGCCAAATCCCCAGGACTTTGATCTTTCCATTTCAGGAATACATGATAGCATGAAATTCTTTCCTTTCCACAAATATTATAATTATGTAATATTTACTCAGAATTCTACTGATAGTTTTAAACTTTAATGACCACAAATTCTATTATTAGGTATTTTGAATAATTATCAAAAAGAAAACTTACCCAACTCAATGCATCCACCAACTCCCAGGAGAGACGCTGCGCTATGATACAGCGGAAGGGTTATATAAATGACGTCATCCTCTCTACAACCGAAAGCCCAAAATCCAGCAGAGCCCCTTAAAGCCTGAGAGTGACTAACCATAGCTGCTTTTGGAAGACCTTAAAGGCAAGAAAAGAAAAAGTTACACACACACACACACACACACACACACTTTGTGAAGCTGAGGTTCTATAAAGACGTCAAATCTACCTTAAAGATCCTGCAGACTCTTTGATGTCAGTCTAGAAAAGGATTATGTAGAGAAGGAAAGTTGCAGGTAGTCATGCATAATTATCTTGGGCTATTTTAGGATATTTAGAAAAATAGTAATTTACTTTAACTTTTATATATAAGCTAACATCCCTGTGACTGTTAAGTAAACACTTTGGAATGTATTGTTAAGTTTAGCAGACGTCTAGCTTTTACCAGTCTAAGAATGCTGTAAGATAACATCTAGACCTACAGAAAAGATTTCCCTCCTTTGCTGTAGTCTGCCTCCGTAACACCCCCACCAATGTATTTGTTGAATGTATTAATTTATAGCCTTTTTGTTTTATAGTTACAAAAGTTCACCTAAGCTCTTCCTAGAGAACACACCACACAGGATAACTTCAATCTGTTCCAAGGTCATGGTCACTCTTATTAGGCTCACAATAACTTATTATTCCTTTAAGCCAGAGTTATTTTATATCATAAATATGTGTGTGTAACAGAAAGATTATTCCAGTAACAGCTACACAAGCAATTAAAAAACATATATCAAAATATTCTAGATGCTTTATAAAAAGAACCATGAAAATTTTAGTTACTACTACAATTAAGTTCTAGAGTCTTAGACTTTTCCAGAAAAACCAAACTACAAAAATTGCATAGAGTTTGAGGTATTATAATTTTCAAAGATCTATAGATGCTGTAAAAATGACAAAAATACTGGAATATGAAAATGTTCACCCCAAATGAAGCAAATCACAATATAAATTTAAATTATATTTGCAGTAGAAGTATCCTAGAGAACAATTCCAGCTCCAACTAGGACTCTCTCAATTATAAGCTGGATATTTCCTACTATCGTCTGCTTATGTAATACTAGAGTCCTACATTAAAATATACTCCTATGTCTAGTGTCCATTTTTATAGTCCAAATTCCCTACTGCTTACTACATGTTTCTGTGGGTATGATCTGTTCCCATGTAGTTTCTTATTGCTGGATCTACTTGCCACTCATCATTTGCTTGTCTTAGCTCAATCCTTCCCTTATATGCATCTGTTTTGCAATTGACATTTTGAACCACATAGTTGATGCTCTTTCTACCAATAGATATCTCATGCAGATAATCAGTTGTATCTATTCTATACAAACAAGATGAATTTTGCTTTTGTAGGCCTTCTCTGATTTTACAATATATTCTGTAGTCTTCTTTCTCTAGAACTACTTATAATTTACAGTCAACTGCTCTATAGTCTTACTTCATGCTCTGTCAAGGCTCAACGTATTTATGGATGAAAGCTGAAGTTTTCACAGGGTTTTCACTTGTAACAGCACTATAATTATGGACCACAGTCTATAGTGACTTCTAAACACTCTTAGTAAGAAACCTGAAGTCCATCTTGTTCTCTGCCTCCACTGATGTTTTCTGATGGGCTTTGTGCTTCATTAACTGGATCAGAATGGACCTCCTACATGAAGTTGGCATCTTACTGCCTATGATCCTAAGTAAAATTCATCTAGTGATATTCTGAAAAGAAATCTCAGTAGCTATTCCAACCAATAGGTTGGAATTTGACAACCTGAAAGAGTTTAGTGTCACTCACATGCACTGACAAGCTCTCTAAATTTCCTCTCAAACCCACATACAGAAATTTTGAATGAGATGTGACTGAACCTTGATGGCTAAGAATACAATGCAATTCTGTACTTCATCCAGAATAGCAATTATTTATACTTAAAAGAATCTTTTTCTATTATTATTGTACTGGGTGTACATTGTGACATTTACCAAAGTTCTTACAGTATATCATAGTTGAATTCATTCCCTCCATCATTCTCCTTTATCTCTCCTCCCCTTGTTCCTGGAATAGTTTCAAGAGGACTCATTTTTCCATTTTCATACATAAGTACATAATACTTCTGCCATATTCATCCTCCTACACCTTTTCCTTATATCCTCCATCCTCCCATGGGCACCATCCCCCAGACAGGACCTGCTTTACCTTCCTGTTCTCTGCTTTTGGAAAAATACATTTTTGTTTGTGTAAGATAGCTATACAGGATGTTTAATGCCTTCTCTAATTCAGAGAAGTTCCATCCCATGGTTCTCTGTCACCATTTTTCCTATTCCTTACAGTGTCCCTGGATCTCAGGGTAACCCAGCTTTTAAAATAATAATTTTCCATTTGAAGCCTCATCAAGGAAAGAAGAAGACTATATCTAGCTCTTTACCTATATGCTGTGATACTCCCTTGAGGTACATTGCTAAATTCGTTAAGCATGTTTCTCTTTCTGCCTTTAAGTGAATAATGATCTCATTAATTTAGTAGATTTTTTAAAGGGAGATGATAGATATTTTTAAAAAGGAAACAATAGATAATAAAGTTTATCTAGCAAATGAAAGTAGTAGAAAGCTGAAGGTTTAGGATTTGAAAGAAGAACAAAAAAATAAATTAAGTTTGATAAAATTACATTTTAGATCCTTCCCTTAAAATACTTAGAGAGCAGGTTAACACATTGAAGGTCATGAGAAGTCAAGTAGTACAGAAACTTTGATGTCTATATAGATCACCTTTTCAAATTTATATGGCCATAAAGCCCCCTTTCAACTTTTTTTTTATTTGAGAAACTTCCTTGAGAAATGCTACTGTTGGTGGTTAATAGAGTCCTTGGGTATTCTAAACATTTATGATTTCCTGGCATTGCAACTCTTCAAATATTCCTTGATTTTAGTAGATCCTTGGAATGTGGCCCAGAAATAGAAATGTGCCTGGTGAATTGGGTATTAGGAGGGAAATAAGGAAAGGTAGATGAAGCCAAGAGAAAACTAATTCTAAGGAAGGGATAGTTTGGGGAATAATTTTGAAAATTGGGCACAGTGTTGGGAAAAAAGGAAGGAATCCATAAGCAAAAGAATGTGACATGAAAGGAAATCTTTAGGTGGTGATTGTGAACGCAAAGACATGGTTTTCCTTCTGCTACTTTAGGAGTGGCTGCATGTGTGGCTACTCTGGCCAGGCAGAGACAGCATCTCTTAGAAACTCATGATGCCACTTCATTTAGTCCAGCTAGCAATGGCCAGCTAACAGCAACAAAATTTGATTAAAGAGATGAATGAGTATGGTACGTGAAAAACACACTCAAAAATCTAAACCCAAGGTAAAGCCAGGAAGAAGACTGATTTGCCACCACAGAACACCAGAAAGGCACAGAAACGGGAGAACAAGGTACCTCAAAGAGTAGAAGATACTGCGGAACTTCAAAGAAGTACCTTTATGGGAAGTTCTATTTAAGAAACAATTGTAATCCTGTATTGCTTAATTAACCCTGAAGTTTACTCTGTGCAAAAAAATAACTTCTGGAAACATCAGGAAAAACAGAGGTTAAGAAAATAGAGAGATAAGAAAAAGTCTACAAACATTTCCATACCTGCTAGATTTACTCTTCAGGATTCTTTTCTGAGGAATCTACCACATGCAAAAACTGAAAGACAGGGATAGACAGGGATCCCCTCCCCAACCCCCCACCAAAAAAAATCATTGCACTTCCTGTACAATGAAACCATTTAGTATGTAAGTCCTACCTAAGCACACAGACATTATAGATATGATTTTATTTGTTTTATGTTTTAAATATAAACTAACATTAAAAGTTTACCCAATATTTGAGGATATTCTCTAGCATGAAAGATAGAGACCAATATAAATCAAAACATTATAAAGGATGCTGGAGAAAGCAGACAAAACATTTTCAGAAAAGTATTATGAATATTTTGAAAAATATGAGACAATAAAGTACCAAGAATGTAAAAATAAACTTTCAAGGATTAATATTCAGAGAACACAAAGGTTGGAAAATAAATCTGTCCAAAGGTAAATTAAAAGCTAAGAAAAGGGAAAATAAAAAGATTCGATATTAATGATTCGGTCCAGGAGACCCAATCTTTAAAACTGTAAGTCTTCCAAAGATGAAATAATGAATAAACCAACAAATTTAATGGAAGGAAATAATCTAAAAAAAGAGCAATAAAGAAGAAATGAAAAAGGGATCTAGAGTTTTCTTAAAATTTGAAAAGTACCTAGAACTGCAGGATATGTTTCTACACTAAAAAGTATTATAAATTTCCCAGAAAAATAAGACAGTCCCAGTACAAGTCACCATGATGTAACTGACTACTGAAGACTGGTAAAAGAGTCTAAAAATTCAAAAACAGCAATAAAACTGTTTGCATAAAGGATACAAAATCAGAAAGTCAAAAGATTTCTCAATATGTACACTGAAAGTCCAAAGATAATAGAGCACGCCTTCAAATTCCCACATAAAAGTAATTTCTAACCTGGAATTCTATAAACTGCCACTCATGTGCAAGCATTTTTAAAAGAGACATCCTCAGACAGGTGAATACTTAAGAATTTTCCTGGCCAAATAGTTTTTCTTTATAAGACAACTTCGAAAACTAGTGCACTGACAAAATGAAAAATAAAACAATTTAGGATAAAAAAAAAGCTATTGAAGGAAATTCCCACAGTGACGGTGAAGAACAAATCCAGGACAGCAAGACAGCAATTGGTCAAGATGGAAGGAATGGAGAGAAAGTCTCTGGTAAAGAGATGGCCAAGAAGATGGACTTGACAAAACACACATTGCCCTTTCAGTATCCTAAAAGTAAGTTACTTCTTGAGAAAAAATGAGTGTCATGTCATAAATTCATTTAGCATAAACACCATCTTGGCATCCTTTTAAAAGGCCTGATATAAGATATTTGAAATTCAACTGTTAACTTTGTTTTAGTGAAACTTTCCCTCCCCGTGTGATTGTGATATAGCCCTTTGTGCCTCATTTCACTGACCCAAAACCCAACATCTCACAATTATAGACCACGATAAACCTAATTATCAACATGTAAGTAAG